GAGTCGATGCTCAACGGCGAGCAAATATGAATGTCGTCGTGAAGAAATAATCAGCCTCGGCGTAAATGAATGGGCCGGGATGGCTCCGAGCATAAATCAATGACTCCGGCTCCAACATATGAATTCAGCCTCGTCACAAATAAGTGAAATCTAGTCCGACATCGAGAGATGAATTCGGCCTTGACAATGATAATGTGTTCGACACCTGCTATCGTTGGGACGAATAAATAAACTCGGGCCCGACTCTCGTCAGTTGGAATAAATGAACCCGGTCCCGGCATTAATACTGAACTTGGCCCCGGCACAGTAAGTGAATTAAGAAGCAAGCAAACAAGGAAATCGGTCTGGTGGGCCGGTCCCATCAGCGAGCGCTAGAGTGAATGAACCGAGACTTGTGAGTGAATAAAAACAGTTAGTCCGACGTAAACAAATGAGGCTTGTCTTTTTCTTTTCTTCAAACTGCTGACAACTAATCTTTTGTAGGTGTGAAGATATTGGCCCAAAGTGCATGTCTTTAGGCATGGGTTAGGTTTGACCCAAAACAAATTTTTGTTGGGCCTACTCCAATAAATAAGTGGACCGGCACTTGATGTTTGTCTTCTTTACTCTTCCTTATCACGAAGAACGACAAAAAATCTTCTAGATCTGATAGTATGGTTTTGGCCGGGATTTTGCCGTTCCATTTATAACAGATGAATTCAGCAAGAAGCGGTGATTTGCTCTTTGGTGTCGGATTCTGATTGTCGGCAAGTTGAAAGGTCGGCCGGCGATGCGGCACAGTCCGGTGTTAAAGGCCCCAACGATTGTGAAGTCGGCGATCGAAGAATATGAAGTCACTTCGGGCGACAAATTTGGAATGCGATGGTGAATCAGAGGTAAGTGCATCTGCTCGGTTAGCCCGTGTGGTGTATCAGAAAATCGGACTTTGCCGCTTCGAAATTTTTGACCGAGGTCACCCTGGTGGTATGTCGGGAACTCGGACCTCGGCAAAATGAAATAGAGATCGGATAAATTAGACCTCGGTGATGATGTCAGTCGAGATTTGAGGCCGGTAATTCTGCCATAAGCCGGTTAGGGTTCGCGAGATCGGGTTTTGATCCAACTGTGACGTGTAACGCTGAAATCGGTTTGGCCATGAAGATCGGACGACGAAGTGGAGGTTGGTTGCGATGCCGAGGTCTGAGCTTGGGCCTTGTCGTTGAGGTCGGTGGCAACGTGGCCACGTCGATGATACGAGGTCGGGCATCGGTGACCCCTGAGTCGGAGGTGCCGAGGTTGGGTGTTGACGCAGAGATCAACCGTGATTATGCTGGTTACCAGCGGGCCCCAGCAGTGATGTTGGTTACCGTGATGTCGGTTTGAAGACGATGAACCCAATCCCGGTGTGCAGAACGGGACAAATGAAGTTGACCTTTGATTTGCACCAAGGTTTGAAGGTCGAATCCAGCCCGACTGCAATTTTGAAGATCCGGGCTTATCCCGATTGTTAACTGAAGTCGGCTGTGAATGGCCTGGGCTCGATGAGCAATGTTGGAGATTGATTACGACAAGATGGGTCTTCGTAAAGATGAGGGACTCATGAGTTCGATCCCGCGGTGTGGTATGGTCGGACTTCGACGACTGCTACAAAACTCGCCGGGAGGTTGGGACCCAGTTGCTTTGTGTAGCTCTGGTAATCACCAAAAAAGATGATGTCGGA